TCTATGTAGACCAGGCTGGCCTCAAACTCACAGAGATCATCCACCTGCCTCTGCCTTTCAAGTGCTGGGATTAAGAGTATGCATCACCACACCTGGCATTAGTGGAAGGAATTCTTTTTTTTTTTTTTCGAGACAGGGTTTCTCTGTGTAGCCCTGGCTGTCCTGGAACTCACAGGGTAGTCCAGGCTGGCCTCGAACTCAGAAATCCGCCTGCCTCTGCCTCCCAAGTGCTGGGATTAAAGGCGTGTGCCACCACCGCCCGGCAGGAATTCTTGAAGGAAGGAGGCATCTCATGATTTTAACCTGCAGTCATGAGATAATATTTGCTCAGTGTGTACATGTTCAACAAAGAGACCATAGGGGAAAGAGAGATACTCTGCCAGAGAAGTGATGAGTGCCTGTTTTTTTCTCTGACTCACCTTGTGGCTTGTGCTCTTCTCAGTAGATGCTTTCTTCCAACTGAGTGTATTGGAGGCCTGGTGTGTGCTTGTGTTATCTGTTCCTACTGAAAGACCACAGAGGGAGCAGAAGTCAGACAGACAGGCCCTGGTCTAGTACTATGCAGAGACTCGTATCACAGCTTAGGAGAATCTGCTTTCTCTCTACATTAAGCCTGTATAAATAGTGGTCAGCAGAGCAGCTGTACTGTGGTGATGAACCTTGGGCTCTTAAATTCAGTAAGTAGAATATGATAAAAGTGTTTTTTGTCTTTTTTTTTTTTGGCAGTGTCAGATAGCTCAGGCTGGCCTTGAACTCTTTTATGTAGCTGAGGATGACCCTGAGCTTCTGACCTTGTCTCCATCTCTCAAGTGCTGGGATTATAAGTAGGTGCTCCCTTGCCCGCTTTATGTGATGCTGGGGATCGAATTCAAGGGTTCATGGGTGCTAGGTGAGAGCTATACCCTTAATCTCATGTGTTTTTTTTTTTTTGGTTTTTTGAGACAGGGTTTCTCTGTGTAGCCCTGGCTGTCCTGGAACTCACTCTGTAGACCAGGCTAGCCTTGAACTCTCGAACTCAGAAATCCGACTGCCTCTGCCTCCCAAGTGCTGGGATTAAAGGCGTGCGCCACCACCGCCCGGCTTCATGTGTTTTATTAAAAAATTAATTGTGTGTACGTATGTGTGTACACGAGTGTGTGTGTGTGTGTGTGTGTGTACTACAGCATTCAAGTGGAAGTCAGAAGACAATCATGTGAGTTCTGGTAATTGAAATTGAACTCAGATTGATCAGTGCCTTTACCCACTGAGAATCTTGGTGAACTCCAGTAATTTTTTTTCTTAAAACAGTGTCTTTTTCTGAGGCTTAGACTGCCCTGTCACCTAAGCTAGCTTCAAATTTATCCTCTTGCCTCAGCCTCTCAAGTGCTGCAGTTGTAAGCTCACACTTGGCTCCAAGCAGCTTTACGGACAGCTGTAGTGAGGGCATCCTGCAGTTTTTGGGGTATCTGTGGCAAGGCGGTGGATAAGGGTGGGGGTGGGGGAGCTGAGCAAGAGTCCGTTTTACTAAAGTTACTGATGGCTTATATGGAGGAGGGAAGAAAGCAGTAGTTATGCTAGGTCTGATACTTGTGCTCACCACCCACAGAACTGTGCTAGGGGAGGAGCTCTGGTCCCCTGTGGCCATTTGGCTCCTTGTAATGTGTCAGTCTTGCTTTCTACAGGCATCTGGAACTCAGGAGGGGAAGAAATAAGGAACTAAATAGCCTGGCTTCAAACCTAGGTGTCTCAGGGAGTTATGCTTCCTGGGGCCTGTCTTCCTCATCCTGTCCAGATTGCTTGCGGGTTGCCTTCACCTTTTTCAGTCCCCCTACCCTGCCTTCTGGGGCAAGGAGGGAGTACAGGGACTGTGAAATAACTCGAGGGGTTTGCTGTTGCTGTTCTTAAAGTCCCCTCTGCAGCACACTGGAGGTGGAGGAAGTGGGTGGGAGGGCCATCAGCATGGTACTCTGCTTAGACCTCTGTTAATGTTTTCGCCTTTCTATGGGTCATCCCTCTCTTCCAGGTATTAGTAGATTATGCACACAGACCTTTTTGTGGTTTTGCTTGTCTTGAGACCAGGTCTTGCTGTGTCTGTCTCCCAGCTGTCCTCAAACTTGAGATCCTCCTGCCTGGGTCACCTGATGGCTAGGATCACACAAGCAAATATCACCACATCTGGCTGATTTTATTTATTTTATCTTTTTATTAATTTTTTTTTCTTAGGCCATGATGGCTCGAGTCTTTAATCTCAGCACTTGGGAGGCAGAAGTAGATGGATCTCTGAGTTTGAGGACAGCCAGGACTACACAGAGAAACCCTGTCTTGAAAAACCAAAAAGGAGCTGGGTGGTGGTGGCGCACGCCTTTAATCCCAGCACTTGGGAGGCAGAGGCAGGCGGATTTCTAAGTTCAAGAGTTTGAGGCTAGCCTGGTCTACAGAGTGAGTTCCAGGACAGCCAGGGCTACACAGAGAAACCCTGTCTCGAAAAACCAAACCAAAAAAAAAAAAAAGAAAGAAAGAAAAACCAAACCAAAAAATAAATAAATAAATAAATTCATACAATGTATTTTGATTGCAGTTCCCTTCCCCCAACTCCTTCCAGAGCCTCCCTACACATCCAAAAAACAATGAGCCCAAACAAAGCAGCATGAGACAAAAAGTCTCAGATGTTTTGAATTTATTTTGTGTTTACCATCCACTGCTGGGCATGAGGCCTCCCCTGAAGTGTAGTTAATATACCCAGTGAGTCTCTGTAGGAGAAAACTAACTCTTCTGGTGGATGTCAATTACAGTAGCTTCTTGGTTATATGTGGGAGCCTATGCCCACTTCCCCCTCTCAGCACTGGGACTCCATCTTGTTTGATGGCTGGTTTTTTAAACTTGATTGTTAAAGATCCCTTTCGGGGCTGGAGAGATGGCTTAGCCCTGAGCACTGGTTGTTCTTCCGGAAGACCTAAGTTTATTTCTTAGCATCTATAAGGTACCTCAGAACTGGCCACTACTTTAGCTCTGGGAGATCTGATGTTTTCTGGCCCTCTGGTGCATTGTACATATGTGGTACATAGCCATGCAGGCAGGCAAAATATCTATACACATATAAATAAAACAAAAAAACTTTTAAACAACAATTACACCTTTTCATGCTTGGGATCTTTACACATACCTTTAAAACCAAAACTCAGGCAGAGGAAGAGGATCTTTATGAGTTCAAGGCCAGCCTGGTCTACATAGCCAGTTTTAGGCCAGTCAGGGTTACATAGACCTTATATAATAATACATAATAAATATAAATAAATGTAAATAAATGTAAAATGAAAGACACTTTTTCACCTAATAGATTATAGGGAGCAGATGAAGTCTTTAGTGTATTGACATGGACAAGGACCAAAGCCTTGGACCCATAGGAAAGTGGTAAAGCTTTAACCCATATGGGCAAGGCTCAGATTTCTTCCTCTGGTCCAAGTACTAGAGGGTTCAGTAACGATTGACCAGTGTGGGCAAAACCTAGTAGCTGCCTTCCTCTTCCTTGTTGTTTACGTCTTGAGACTGCTGTGCTACAGACTTTTACAGAGATTAGCTTCTTACTCCTGTGCTGTACCAAATAAAGACTCTGAGATACCAGGATGCAACTCCATCAGAGAGTGCACAGCTCTCCTGACCCCAGACTATTTGTGCATATGTATCGTTCCTTTCTTTATTCCCCCAGTCTCCTGGTCAGTGTTCCAGGACTAAGCTTTGTGGGATGCAACAGTAGGGCTGAAATGGTTGTTATCATAGTGCATTTATCTCATAGTATTTAATTGATGCCTCTCATGTTTTATATTTTAAAGCTCCTATATTTTTTCCCTTTTCCTTTTATCAGTAACATTTTATTTTATTTGATTCATTCTATTATTTATTTATTTATTTATTACCTACATCTTTCCAATAGAATCCAAGCTCCAGGGGATGGCTTTTCTTCTCCTTATTAGTATTTCTCAGCCCCTGTTTAGAACAGTTCTTGCATGCACTTGATGTTTAAGCATTGAGTGGTTGAATGTAGACTTCTTTGTGCAGTTTTTTGTTTTTGTTTTTTTTTGGTTTTTCGAGACAGGATTTCTCTGTGTAGCCCTGGCTGTCCTGGAACTCACTCTGTAGACCAGGCTAGCCTCGAACTCTCAAACTCAGAAATCTGCCTGCCTCTGCCTCCCAAGTGTTTGTGCGGTATTTTGGGTGATGTGCACACAGTGTGCTGGTACGTATGTCTTTGCACCCCTTTCATAGTCTCCTTAGAGAGTCTGAGAAATGGAGCAGCAGAGCTAGAGGATATGCACGTGCACCACACCAGTTCACGGAACCAGCTTCTCTCATGATTGGCACATAGCTGTAATCCCAGCACTCAGGGTGTGGAGGCAGGAAGATTAAGAATTCTAGGTTAGCCTCTGCACATCATGGGCTCAAGATCTATCTAGGCTACATGAGGTGGTGTCTCAAAAACCAAAACAGAACAAAGAGAACCCCAAACAAATAGAAGAAGGTGAGGTTCCAACTGGGCTAGCCTGGAGTGTACTGTATGTTTGAAGCCAACCTTTCTCCAACTGAGCCAGTCTCGGACACACAAAAACAAAACAACAACAAAAACCATACTGTGCTTTCTTTTATTGTGGTTCCTTGACTTTATATAGCTACATAAAGTCATGTGTGTGTATATGATATGTAAGGCTCTAATGAGTGTGGGTAAGAAGTTGGAGGGTAGTCCTGGGGAATGTACTGAGTATACAGTATACTTGTGTGAAAATGTCCTATGTCATATAATACCATGTATGGCACTCAAGGTTGTTGGTTGTTGAACCATGTTTCACTGTCTAGCCTTGCTGACCTGGAACTCATTGGGTAGACCAGGCTGGCTTCCAACTCATAGAGATCCACCAGTTTCTGCCTCCTGAGTGCTGGAATTAAAGGTGTGTGCCAGCATGTCTGGTGGTTTCCGGTGATTCTAAGAACACTGAGTCTTGTGTTTCCATGTGCTCCCCCACTGACAGGTGGAGATATGATCTGGTAACACCAGGATTCAGAATGTGACTGTGGAGCTACATTGCTTAACCTTGGGTAAGTCAGTTGTCTTTCTGTGTCCCTCAGTTCTTCATGGTAACGAAGGGTACTAGTGATACCTTTTTGAAGGGGTTTCATGAAGGATCATCAGTTAAGCTAAGGAAAATGCTTAGTCTAGTAACTAAGACAGTTACTCCAGTAGAACTAATGTACTTTTGTAATGCTGGTATCAACCCATGGCTTTACATGTGCTGGATAAGTGGTAATAAACATGGGCTGGTTTTCACCTCTTTGACTGTAGAAGGTTGAACCAGGGGTCTCATGTTGTCTGAGCTTGTCTCAGACTCAGAGCTCTGTAGCTGAGGCTGGCCTTACTGATCTTTTCATCTCCATCTCCCAAGTACTGGGACTGGTGGCCTGCCCCACGGTGTCTGGCTTAAGGTCAGTCATCTTTACAGTGCACTCTGGGCAAATATGTAGCCACATCCCAACTTTCTGATTGGTTCTCATATTAACACTCATGAACTATAAAGTATCCCATGTTTCTTTCAGCTTTGTTTATGCACTTGTTTTCTGACTGTAGATTTTATATTTTTTTGGCATTCAGATATTTTTCCCTTAGATTTTTTTTCTGTTATGAGACCAATGTTTAGGAGTAAGTGTGAGTTTCTCTCTTGAAATTATAAAAAATGGCTTTTTGTTCTTTTGAGTACTGTATTTAACTTATTCATTTGAACATTTAAATTTCAACAATTGTTCAGTCTGGAATTTATTGTTAGGTTGAGAGTGGTTAAGTCTTGAGTCTTGATTTTTTTTTTTTTTTTAAATTTAAGGGCGGAGAAATGTTAAGAGTGCCTGCTTTTCTTCGAGAGGACCAGAGTTCAATTCCCAGCTTCCATGCCTGGCAGCTTCACGGAATTTAACACTTTCTTCTTGACCTCCTCAAGCACCCCCACACATACGGCTTATAAACACACAGAAAAAAAGTAAAAGAAATCTTAAAGACAGTTGTGTATTTTTTAATTTTGTGTGTGTGTGTGTGATAGTTTTCTGCCTTTTCTCACTGTGCCACCAGCATGTGTGTCACGAGGCTTGGTGGCAGGCTCCTTTACCTGCTAAGCTATCTCTCTCTCCTCTACTTTTTTCATTTGGATAACTATCCAAACCTTCACTGAAGAGGCAAAAAGCAGTGTCCTTTTTTGATTATTTTGAGACAGCCTCCCTGTGCAGTCTTGGCTGGCTCCACACGCCACATTCCTCCCTCCATCTGTCCAGGGCTGGGGTGAGCAGCATGTACAGATGTGCCCCTGATGTTGCTCCCCTTCTCTTAGCACATCAGAGAGTGGGCCTAATGTCAGAATGTGGTCAAGATTATTGTGGTAGCTGACCTGTAGTAAGTGGACTGAGGTGAGGAGACTGCTGTCCTTGGCTGCAGCCTTTGTCTGCCTCGGCAGACCTCCCTCGCAGACCCTGATAAAGGACTGCTTTACTGGGCTCACCACTCATGCAAACAGAATATTCTTCTTTGTTCATAAACTAATGACAGGTTTGGGACTAGCTTAGCAGAAAGCACTGGGCTAGCATTTCAATGCCCTGGGCTTGATCCCAACACCACAGAAGCAACCAGATGACTGTAGCAGCCACTTCCTCCAGCCCATGGATGCTGTGGAATATTGACGAAGGGGTATTGAGTGGTGGTAATCCTATTGGATTCCAATTCTGCCCTTGACAGATGGAATTTTAATTGCAGTAAGTTTCTTGCCTGGATTTAAAATAAAGGAAAGCCAGGCATATTTGTATAATCTTAGTACTACTGCTGCTGGCCACAAACAAGGGAAGCTGACCTTCATGTGGAACACTTCGTATAGGCAAGGTTCCAATCGGCAGATACATTAGGCCCCTCTTGATGCAGTGCTCTGTCTGGTTTGAGTAGCAAACTACATATATACATGTACCAGTAGACTTCATGTCCATTCAGAGCCTGTAAATGCAAGTGGTAGATTGTAGAGATTTTTGTCTAATTTAGGATTGTTTTTGTGTGTATGTGTTCACACAAGTGCAGTGCCCACAGAGTCCAGAGAAGGTGGTGTTGGATCTGCTGGGGCTGGAGTTACAGGTGATGGTAGGGTGGAAATTGAACTCTGGTCCTTGGCAAGGGCAATAAGCTCTCTTAACTACCGAGCCTTCTCTTCAACTTGGAAATACAGTTTTTGCAAATGTAACTTAAGAAGACACAGTGGCAGATCCTGATCCAGTGATAGTGCTATGTAAGGCAAGGTTGCCATGGAGATGGAGGCAGGGACTGGAGTTCAGCATGTTGCTATGAGCTACTCCAAGGATGACCAGCCATCACCAGGAACACAATTTTTCCCCTGTGTTTTGGAGTGTGGCCTTGCTGACACCTGAGTGTAGTCTGTGGTCTCCAGGCTGTAGGATCAGCTTCTGCTGTTTGAAGCCTGACAGTCATTAGAATATCTCTAGAGACTAAAGCACATACTACCACCTCTGTGCTGTGAAAAAGAGAATGGAGGCCCACAGATGTCAAGCGTTGGAGATGTCTGTGGCTTATAGTCTGCACTCTGGCCCCTGCCCTCACTTTGCTAGCTGTGCACCTTTACCATATACACTGAGCTATTGAAATGATTCTACTGTCCTGACACTTCACTCTGTAAAGGAGACATGCTTGTTGACACCGGGTGTCTTTTTCTCCTCAGCTCTTATTTTTTTATGTGTATGAGTATTTTCCCTCTTGAATATATGTGTACCACATACATTCTTAGTTCCTATGAAGATAAAAGATGGCATTGGATTCCCTGGAACTGGAGTTAAGGATAGGTGTGAGTTGTCATGTGGGTGCTGGGGAAGGAACCCAGGTCTTCTTTTTTTTTTTTTTTTTGGTTTTTCGAGACAGGGTCTCTCTGTGTAGTCCTGGCTGCCCTGGAACTCACTCTGTAGACCAGGCTGGCCTCGAACTCAGAAATCCACCTGCCTCTGCCTCCCAAGTGCTGGGATTAAAGGCGTGCGCCACCACTGCCTGGCGAACCCAGGTCTTCTAAGAAACTCTTAGCATTGAACCATCTCTACCTACTAGAGCTCTCTTTACCTTTTCCTTTCTATGCAGTACACAGAAGTGTGATGACAAGGTAACCCCAATGCCCTACCTTTTTTTGGTGCTTAAAAAATTTATTATTATTATTGCTTATTGCAGATCCATCTGCCTGCCTCCTGAGTGCTGGGATTAGAGGGGTATACCACCACCGCTTGCACTGTTATTTTATGTTTCCCGTTTTGCTACTGTGTCTTCTAGAATCCTGTCCCTATAGCTCATGCCGTGCACCTGTTGGCGCTTTCAGGATGGCACAGGTAGCCTGTAACTCAGAGCTGTGGGGAGACGAAGAACTGCTTTCTAGCAGCACTGGGCCTGAGGGCCCCACAGTGACTCTGCCACTGAAGGGATGGAGCCCCTACTCAGGGCCTTACCTGCTAGTGGGTCTTCTGGGAACCTATGGTGGGCAGTGACATCAAGGCTGTCTTCAGTCTGCATGGCTGGGTTTGATCCTGCTTTCATCACAGTGTGAATTCCAGCAATGCTACATTGGTTTTGTTTGTACCACATCCTGGGTCTGAGCAAAGCCCTGGCACATACCAACACTCTTAAGAAATGCTTATCGAGGATCCAGAGCAACAGCTCAGCAGGGAGGAGCATCGGCTGCTCCTCCAGAGGACTCAGGTTCAGTTGCTAGTGCCCACAAGGCCGCTCACAGCCATCTGTTACTTCAGTCCTGGAGATAGACATCCTCTTCTGACCCTCACAGGTTCTGCATGCACATGGTGCACAGACATACATGCAAGCAAAACATCACACGTCTAAAATTTGAAAATGGAAAACTATGTTGATGTGTGGTTTGCTTGTTTCTGAAGCAGCTACTGCTGGGTAACCTTGCCTGAGCCTGGTCGTCTGCTGCCGAGACTTTCTGTTTCTCTTTGTACCGCTTGCTGAGCTGTCGGCTGACCTTTTCACCCCAAGTTGCATGCATCTCCTAAAACTTCAGGCAAAGCCAATGCCCTGGGCCCTCTCAGATCATGACCACAGAATAATGTAGAACATGGGCACTGTTGCAGACTACCACTTGCTGAGTCCCACAGGAGCTGTGAGCTGTGGTTTGTAGTCAGTAAAGCACTGTTGTCCAGATGATTATGCCCAGGCTTGTTTTGGCCTTAATGATTTGCTTCTGCAATCCTGTATGTGGAAAGTCTAGAGAATGTGATGCTCCTTCCTGGATCGCTCAGAATGGTCAGTATACAGGACCATTGTGCTTTCTACACACAAGGAACTGAGGTGCGTATTTTATATATCACAGCAGACTTGGCCAGGTTCTCCCAGCATCCCTCAGTCCCTGCCTGGCATGCCCTGTTCCCAACCCTGAACTTTCCAGTTCAGAGGCTGGGTTGTCCTTCCCGCAGAGGCTCTTCCCTATATAATGCAGACATTTTGCTTCTCCCTCTCTTCCCCTTCTCTTCTCTTTCTGTGTAGACACGCCCCTTTCTCCCTTTTGCCTCCCACCCTCATGGCGACTCACCTGACCTCAATCCTTGGGGCCGGTGAACTCACCCGAGAGCAGCTTCCCAGTAAACTGTCCATTAATATAATCTAACCTGGCTTGAATTGGCTCATTTCACCAGTGGAGGAATAACTTATCACTAGGCCTCACTGAGATCATTTTATAAAGAAAGTTTTGATATTGTCTGTGAGGGCCAGGCCTCTTCACAGAGTTAATATAGGAGTCAAAGTGATATTCCTGTGGTCTTGAACTCAGGTCCTTAGACTTGCTTTTGTATGAACAGTGTGATCAAATCAGCTCTTGCAAGGGATGGGAAGACACGGATAGGGACTGCAAAAACGGCCAAAGTCTGCAGGGCACACAACTTGACTTGGAGATCAGAGTAGCTAAAGTGCCAGGGCTTCTTGTATCCTGTCACTGACACCCTCAAGCTGTCTGTCCACTAGCCCACCTCAAGGACCCCTGTATAGGAAGGGCAGATGGGAAGAAGAAGCCCTCATGTCATTGCTTTTTCTTCACTATTAGGTTGTAATCTAAGCCTTCTGCTGTTGCTGGGCAAGCTGAAAACAAAAGAACGATGTGCCTTGTTCAAGGTCACGTAGCTAGCAAAGGCTGAACTGGGACTGGTTTCTTCTGGTTTGGCTGGCTCCAAAGCCGAAGCTGTTTCCCAGAGCTTTGTGTCTGGTGAGATTCAGGAAAGGAGACTGGGAACAGTGGGAAGACACCAGGTTTCCCTGCCTCACAGTTGGCCATGCCAACCTGTTAAGCCAGTGTGTCCTGTTTATAGAGACCACAGGGACAAACGTGGAGAGATACCAGTGGGCTGCTCAGGAGACTGAACAACCTTTGTTGTTGTTTGTTTCCTCAGTGTAGCCCACACTGTTGAAATCTCACTGCTGACTGACTGGCTTACACCCAAGAAGCCCTATTACGTCTCCCATGAAGTCTGATGTGTGCCAGCGAGTAAGCTCTGAGGCAGCAGAGGAGAGGGTGTGGTGTGCCACACTGCCTGGCCCAGAGCTGGCCACACCTGTCCTGGGACTGTTACAGTGAATTGTTCCTGAGTAAACAAGACTGGCGCTCTTTTGCCTTTCTGAGGAAGACCAGATGGCTGTAGGTGCTGGCCCAGGGCCAGTAGAGGAAACCACTTGAGAGTGTCAGGTGAAAAAAAAAAAAAAAAAAAAGAGGACCTGGTGTGACTTGAGAGGGACCAAGAATGTCCTGTTTCTGAAGTCTTTCCCTGGCCTTTTTCTAGTATGTGGAATTTCACAGCTGAAAGCTCTCTTGTTTTAATTGTGTGTACACATGTGTGCATATGTACCTCTGTGTGTGTGTGGGAGGGAGAGAGAGTATTAGGGTCCTCTTTTTACTTTTGTTTTGATATAAAGTCCCATAAAGTTGCCCAGGCTGGCCTTGAACTTGTGACCCTCCTTCCTCAGACTTCC